TTTCTTGGCAAAGAAACCCCTGCTTTCAGAACATGATGTGCGCAAACAATATCTGATTTCTCTGAAAAAAACAATTGCTTTGTTTCCTCTCAGATTGATTTTAGATGCAAAATTCAAAACATTGGAGGTCATTTTTTGTTTCATTTGACGCGAAGAGAAACTGCAAATCATCTCCGACGAAGCAGACCTTTGTCTATTCACATGACTCGTCCTTTTCTCCTTTTGTGTGGTTCAGCTGCACTCAGAATTCAACATATCAGTAAAAAAGAAAATTCTATTTTCAGATTTATCATAAGCATGTGATTATATCGGCAACATGGAGAAGAAGTCCTCACAGTGCTCAGAAAACGTTTTAATATCTACAATTCCTGTAATAATGAATCACGTGATATGATTAAAGGCTTCCTAACAGATACTTAAAAAACAATATAATGTTGTTCAACTTTCTTTTATCCTTCCTTTACTGTAAAGTGATTCTGATGGTGAAACCTTTGTTTCCATTTACATATTTATATATATATTCAAATATAAAAACAGTTCATGAATGTCCAATCTCTTAAGAATTCATCCCTGTGCAAAACAATAATTTGTTTGGATAAAGCAGATACAGGGAGCATGAAAGTTTTCAACCGACGATTCAATGTCACTGCTGACACAACTGGCAGAAAATAATTAGACCCTTTCACTGAAATTCATGTCATTTAACTGAACAACTAAATTCATGGTAGCAGCTTGGCTGGATGGTTGCCTTCCCTTCCACACAGGCTATTTTACTCTCCCACAGAGTGAATTCATCCTGCCATGTGTTTGGTTGGCACTCAAGCTCAGCCACTGACACAGTGCCACTGCCAAGCAAGACAAAAAAAATCTTTGATAGCCAAATGATTGTTAATATGTTATGAAAGAATATCCAATTAGCATGCAGAGACATTTATTTCTATTAACTGGCTCCTGTTACAGTTACTGTTCTTTCTTTGACTTGCAGGAACAGACTTTAGACAAGAAAAATATTCATATCAGAGCTTCGTCAAGGACTTCTAATGTTTACTTTTTTGTTGATTTATTCTGATCTGCAGCAATCGCAATGACCTCCTGATGAGTAATGCAAGAAAAGGAGAGAATGAGGCTTATATTGAGACAGGGAATGAGAGAAAGACGAAAGAAAAGCAAGAGTAGGGAAAAAATGAGTGAGGGAGACACAGAAAGAGAGAGAGAGAGGTGCTAGGCCCTCATCATAGTTCGCCCACACATATTCCATCCACTTCTACATCACTCCATTACCTCCATGTAAATGACAGCTCTCTGTGTCCCGCTGAGGGGAGAAAAAGGCCTATTAACACCGCAGCAGAGAAGCCCGGGCACTGTTCAGCCCACGCAGAGTGGTCCTCCTTCACCCTCACACTCCCACACACACACAGCTGGCCAGGGGAAGAAGGGCGGATGCGAAGAGGAGGTGGGCATGTAGGATGGTCATTCAGAAGGCTGTTCCCGAAGAGTTTCTAATCTGCTGCATAAAAAGCAGAAAGCAAGATGAAATCACTTATCTTGCCTTGATTGTTGGCGGGCGTGGGCTCAAACAGTAGGCAGTGTGCCTCTCGGGTAAATTAAGCATTACGAATCAACCTGCCTGCTCTTTTTCTCGGTTTCTAGCCTCAATGTGTAATTTCTCATGAGAAAATGTGTACCATGGTGGCAGACAGGCTCATGTGTCTGTGTTATTACGTGACATTACGGATCACATCGGAGGAAGTTACCTCCGCTGAGACGTCAGATGGGCCATAATTTGTGTCAAAGATGAAAGGCAGAAAAAACAACAAGTCATGTTTGACAAGACACACAAATTCTCAGCTCGTTCATCAAAAAATGGGACAAATTCGCACTGGACTGTGACTGCATGCAAAAGCGCCCAGATACCCCTTCCACTTCCCTTCCACAATATTATGGAGCCGGTGGAAACATGGGATAATATTTGGAAGGGGAATGGAAAAGACAACGGCAGATTATGGACAACATCCATCCCCTCGCGTAGCCCCCTGAGCTGTGTTTGGGTTGCCACTGCCCTACTAAACCACGTTTGGAATTTCTGATTGCAACGTCAACACACATATGTGTTTTCTTGCTTTCTCTGCATCCAGTGAGGGGAAACTTCTGGCTGCTGGATCCCAGGGAGGAGTGTGTGACTGTCACTCACACAGCATACCTTTTTTCATGCAATATTAAAATTTCATATCTGTGTACACATTAATAAACTACATAATGAAAGAAATTACTCAGTAAAGACGTGTTCATGGAAACTGGGAAATGTGGACCTCTAACCTTCAGAATAAAAGGCATTTGATGAAAGCAAAAAAATATATATGACAACACTATAATGTGTCCATTATGCTGCAGATAACAGAGTGACAATCAGAGCAGTGTGTAATTATGCTAATTTAAATTAGACACTGTGCAAGTCCTACTTGATGTTTTAATGCACAATTCATATGTGAGGATGAAGTTCAGACCAGATGAGCTATAGCATGTGCTTCAACAATCAAAAAGGAATTTGGACAATGGTTGACATGATGTGACTCGCTTATTTTCACTCTGTTACATAAGCACCCAGGATACCACAAAGAAATTATCTTTATATACCACTGTTTTGCAACAGCAAATATACTTTAACAGAAATGTTATACTGCCCGGATTAAATTTCTTTATCTACATAATGACAAAATAAAACGAACATAGAAATTCCAGCATGGACCAAGAATGTGTACATGGCTTCATTTATTAGAGAAGATGTGCATGATTGACCCTTCACTACGCCACGCCCCAAATGCGAAGCTGGCCAATCACAGTGCAGTATAGGACTCGCACTGACTGAGGTCCAACACTTTCATGGCTGCGCTCCATTGACTCTAATGCAAAAAGAATCGTTTTCTAGCTTTCTTTTGCTGTAATATTTTCCAAAATATGGTCAAACACTGTTCCTGGGGCACTTGTAAAGTCGCTAAAACCTAAAACAAATCCAGAAAAATGTAGGCTGTGGATTGTTCCTTATGTAATGTTAGTTAGCTAATGCAACTTTTTAATGATTGTAATAGTGAACAGAGACCTACCCAGGTTTGCAAGAATAGTGTTAATCCCTCATATCGTTGTCCTCTTTCTCAATAGCCAGGTGATGCAGTGGTTCACTTTTACTCTGATCAGTAGGCTTTAGCTTTTGTCATTTTGACGTCGGTTTGACAGCCTGAATACAACTTTCAAATGTATAATGCAACTGCAAAACTCCCTGCTTCTTTCTGAGATCGCTTTTTTCAGAAATTAGGCAATATTTCTCCAGAGAGAGCAGTTACAGACAGTGGCAACGCCATGATAAAAGTCTGACAGGTCAGACAGTTTTTCAGACTTAGCAACAGTAACTAAGGTGGGCGTGGCTTAGCAAAGGGTCAATTAGGAGTCCTTCCTCAGGTTCACATGATCAGGAACAGGTGGATGTTTTTAAAGATTCTCCTAAAAGCCAGTGCAATGCTTTGTTTGCTCTAAGACAACCTAAACAGTCTGTGCTTATGTTTGTTCTTGTTTGTTGTTGATTATACTGTAATCAGCAAAAAAAATTAATGGACGTAGGCCTTTGTGCAAAGATGCAAAATGTTCACATTGAACAAACTGTGTCTGCAAAGTGTTTACTGACAACATGTTTCATTTGTTTTCCTAACAATATCCGCTTGTGGCAACCGAAGCATGACTTACATTTTATGGTTATGTTTTGGCAACTCAGAGGACTTGGTTAAGGTTACGGAAAGGGAATGTGACCTTGGTTTAATATTGAAATAGTCAGTAGTCACACTAGGCAGGATGTATTTACTTTTTACATCTTGAACTAAATCCACCATCTTCCCTTAAGTGAGTGTTTTTATGTAATCCTATGTGCTATAACGAAGTAGCACTTCCTGGACTAGAAAACACATTGCCAGTGAACAAAATCCATCCAGCATTTATGTTTCCCCCGAATGGTTTTCTGCATAGCCATTTAGTAGTAGGCCAGATAAACGTGATTTTGAGTTTGGATATTTTATTACTTTCACTATTCCACTTTTGTAGGTGCTTTTATTTAGCTGGTATGACAACTAAACATTGCATTATATTTTAAAAACTCCCAGCTTTTATTTTGAATTCCAGATGCATATTTTGGATGGCGTGCTTCAATATGAATCTGTGCGTGCTGTTTTCCAAGCGCATGGATAGCTAAACTGAGTGCACGGTTTGGCAACATGTGTGCACAGATTTCAACACCATTTTTTTCCTCTTACCATATGATACCCGATGAGCTCCGTGCAAGGCCGTTTCCAGCTTGTATGACCAATCTTCAGTTGCCGTTCTTCCGCCCTCCCTTTGTCCATCTCTCATATTCTCCATCTCTGTAACTCAGCCTCCCTCCTCAGTATAAACAGCTGAGATTTGCCCGTTTAAATGGACTGTACGAACAGGCGATATATTTTGAGAGAAATATACAGAGGGAATGAAATAGAGCTTGGATTTCATCGTCAAGGTGTAATGTGCCATGGAGGAGGAAATATAGGAAATGAGTGAGCGTGTGTGTGTGTGTGTGTGTGGGGGGGGGGGGGGTGTAATTGAGTGAGTAAGAAAGGGCGACAAATGAGAAGAAAGTAAGAGAAAAAGGAAAGGTAGACAACTAATAAAGAAAGTCAGAAAAATTTTGTTTGTGTGGAGGGGAATGACACACACACACACACCACGCCGTGTGGGGGGAGGAGAGAGACGTTCTGGTTAAGACTGCCTTCATGGATCACTCTCACTTGCATAAAGAGGGACAACTTTATTGAGCCTGAGAGGAAGAGCGAAGTGCAAAATGAGGGACCAGGGGGGAAAAGCCGAGAAGTTTGAAGAGAGCACTAAAGGTAAGAGAAGAGGGCTTGTAGAGCATGAGAGGGGAGGAGAGAGGGAGAGAGAGAGAGAGAGAGAGAGGGTAAGGGGGAGAAAGACAAGAAGAGAGACGCGGAGAGACAGACAGATGGAGGAGAAGCATGCAGCAGAGAGGAGGAGAAACAAAGCATGTTGACTGAGGAAGTGTGCACGCCATGCGGGCCATGTGCTCAGGTAGGTCCCATGCATCTATGCTCTTTCAACACAACGCTCCGATTCTCACATATGCAGCCTCTTTCTCACTGCTTTTCTCTCTTTCTACAAAAAAAACCAAGTCAATCAGTAATAACATATGGTAGGACTGTCTCTTGTTGCAATTCAGAGGCTTAGCAATCAAAAGAGATGCATTTTTTGTGTGTTTTCACTCACAGGCTTCGTTTCACTCACCTTTTCCAGCTTTTTAATCCCTTGCAGTGCTGTTTTTTTTTTGGGGGGGGGGGGGGGGTCAATGATGCCATTGTCAGTGGAAGTTTTTGTTTTGTTTAAATGTTGCATGATGATTTGCAAAAAAAAGTGGAATTGTTCATGGTAGATTGATGCCACAGCTGTGGTGCAAATTAGATTTTATTTAGTTTTATTTAGATCTGGCTGTCTCTTGCTGTTTGTGTGTGTGTGTGTGTGTGTGTGCGCGCGGGAGTGTGTGTTGAGCTGTGATGGTCTAGTATACTAGGATATTGGCAGGATTGAGGAATGTGTGAGACTTCGCCCCAGATCTCTTTGTTCCCTCTCTCTCTCATTTTCTTTCTTCTTTTTTTCTGTTGCGCGCACACACACACACACACACACACAGACACACACACACACCACAGTCAAACCAACTCTTGCAGAAAACCAGTTGAAACTTCCCACCGGCAGGAGAGAAATGTCTGGAATGTGATTATCACGTATTTGTGTTTATTTTATCACTGCGGGTCGCTCGCAAGCAAAGAGGAAACCAGATCGGGCGCATGCCCGGCACTTAGTGTGAAACTGTGTGTGTGCATGAGTGTGTGTGTTGACATGTGTGTGTGTGCTCAGTGGTGGTGGGTGGGGAGGGAAGGGTGGGAGGGTAAAGAGTGAGAGCTATTTGGCAGTGCACGTGAGTGTGTGGGTGGTTGTGTGGGTGTCAGGGTGAGTGGGTGCAGAGCTCTCTTTGAGTGAGAGCACATGTGACTCGAAGAGTGTGTGGGTGTTGAGTGTGTGTGTGTGTGTGTGTGTGTGTACAGAAAGGTAAAAAGTATGTGTGTGCAAAGGTAAGGTGAGTGTGTGTTTCCGAGTGCGACTGAGCACCTTTGCATCAAAAGGAGGTGGAGGGGGGGAAAAATCCACTCCCCTTTCTAAACCTCTCGGTCTTTCTTTCTGTTGTATGCTCATTGACACGCATGTACATGCACACACACACACACAGTTCAGGCGCCTGTCAAACCCAGTGCATTCCTGAGTGCTCGAACACACAGAGTCTGAATGGTGGGATGAATGCGGGGAAATTCAGCTGAAACATGAGGACAAAAGCCAGGGGGACATTTAAGAGGCTTTAACTCCGCAGAACCCTGGGAATCAGGGAGGAAACACACACACATACACATGCACGCTTACATTAACGCATGCCTACACGTGCACCGAAATGCGAATAACTGAGCTGTGTATACATCCCGACAAACACACACACACACATATGTACAGCTGCGGCTCCAACAGGCTGTTAGAGCCTGGAACAGAGGGGAATTCCCAGGGAGGAGACAGTGAAAACACACTACACCTCTGCCTTCATATACACAATGGGCCTGGGAGCCAACACCAGCACTGAAACATACTGGTGGAGGTATTGTAGCCTCACTACCACTGTGGTACACCAGTGACTTTAATTGTAAACCATTGTCTTCTACAGTACGCCACTGACTTAAAATTTCAAAACCAGCAATAGCTTAAGGGAAGTTCTGCAAGGGACACATTTTCAAAGAATGACACAGCTCGGCGTGGCTTTTTTTGTAGGCTTCATATGTAAAAGATCAACCAGGACTGAGTTGTCAAATTGGCTTGTAAAATAGAAATTGGCCAAGTCTTAAAAGAGGATTACTGTTATGGCATTTGAGATAAAGCATTTTAACTCAAAAGCGCTGCTTTCTGAAATCTATTAGCGGTGAAAAGAATGCTGAGATTTCCGCAAGTGTCAAACTTTATGGGCAGTTTTTGGAGCCTCCTGAAGCGCAGTGGTTTCATCTCCTCTGCTGCCGGCACAATGCATTATCAAATGCATGCGACGTGAAAACATGCCCTTGCAAACGTCTTTATCTCTGACTTCAAAGCGAGCCCGGTATCTCGAAGTTGGGATTTCATCACGTGTTTGCTGTCTGTGTCCGGGCAGACAGGAGTTCAGTGGACATTACAGGTCAACCTTTCCCCGGTGTCTCTGATGTCTTGTTGCGTGCTCGCTGCGTGTATGATGTGTGGGGGGGGGTGGGGGGGGGGGGGGGGGGGGGGTGGGGAGGGGGGGGGGGGGGGTCATTTGTGTTGACCTGGAATCAATATTGCTCACTCACAGTCAGATCAATACAGACACAGAATCAAAAACACAGCCCCTCTGTTGGGAAACATGAAGGGGAAAGTGTGGGATTATCCCCAGTCACTTTGGTTTTTGCATGCCCTGCAGGTGCTAACTGAGCTCACTTTAAACTGGTGTTTGTTTGTTTTGTTTTTTTGTGTGTTTTGCGTGTGTCTATGTTGTGGGGAGTAAAAAAAAAAACACAGGTGTGAGTTCATTATTACTGGCGTATCTTTTTGCATTAAAATCTCAATTTCTGTGCAGTTCATCTCATTTCAACTGAACTGCCATTCATTTATTGAATCCAACGTGGGGGATTTGTTTGGCTCATGATGACACAGCAAAAACATTCAAGTGCGTCTGATTTCTTGCTTATCTGCCTCAGTCATGCATGTCCTGGATGACCAAAGTTTGACAGTAAAATTAAAGGTCAAATGGTGAATTTCAAGAGCATACAAGTATTGAGATGAACTTGATTTTGTCTGCCTCCTTCATTGTGTAAATATGCAAGATTAACCCCAGCTCTCTGTAAGATATGAAAGACCTGTCACTTTTTCATGATGTCTGTTCTTTCTGTAAGAAGGATTGTCAGTCAAGGTGAAATCAAGCTTCTCAAGTCACGTGAACACAATATTCAACAATGAAGAGATGACATGTAGAGGGTTAATTTATTTTGTCATAAGGCTTACTGAAAAACTCATATATATTATATATATATATTTCTGGGAAGTTTACATTGAAGAAAAACCCATCCCAAATACCAGAAACTGAGGTCATAACTGTACTCATAACCAGATAAGAGAAAGAGTGGGCACAGTAATTTATTCAGGGAATTTCACAATATGAACCCCAGTCATCATGCTGGTAATATTGTCAGTGTGGTTTAGAGACCTCATACCTCCTCAACCTGTGCCAGTGGAGAGAGAAAACAAGCAGTGAAAACATTTGTTAATTTCCCAGATTGCTGTAGCAAATCACTCTCACTCTCATACTGAGAGCGACGAGGCAGGCTGCGAGAGCAAAAGGGGGAAGAAGCAGGTGAGCAATAACAAATCATCTTGCACATTTCACAGGAAATTTATACAAATGTAGATGCATAAATTTAAATGAGCAGGTACAATCCCACTGCAGGTGTATTTCCCCAAAGGGAGAGTAGCATGAGATAGAGAAGATTCTCAGTCAAGATATGATTTTAAAATGTTTCACATTTAGTGTTTGATTAAAAATTGATACATGCAGAGAGCTAGTTAATGTGGCTACATGAAATTGTTGCAGGGGCATGTAATCTGCGATGCTCTAAGCTAATTCTGTTGAACTTGTTTTCTTCTTTTTAGTTTTTTTAGTTATTTTGGAAAGATACATTGCTGAGTGCGATTCCTTCCTTCTCAAGCTGTTTTCTGTGCATTATGATTTAGTGAAAGTAAAGAAAATGACACAAGAGAAAGAAGAAGCTGGTCTTTAAAAAGGTTTTATGATAATGCCAAACGGTGACATTTCTTACATTCTTAAAAGCGTTAAAACGTCAGTCAAGAGCTATTTAGACCTGGTGCGATAACAGAGGGGCTCCCAAAAAATTTGCATTTCATCAATCCCAATCTAAATAGATGCAGATACTCAGAGAATGATGTCTCTCTGTGTGGGAATGAAATCTTTAATAGCCATCCGTCCACTTTCACCTGTTGTTCTCAAATGGACTTTAAGTGAAATTCAGCTTGTGCTTGTACCCCCTGGAAATTTCTCAAGGACCCCAGGAGGTTCCTGGACCCCACATTGGGAACCATTGCTCCTATTTTATTATGTAACCTTTGCACATAGCAAAGAAAAAATGTGCATCTAATTCTGTTTAAAGCTGAAGATAGAAATGTTATTTTATAACTGGTTTAAAAAACAGTAACAGTTTCAATTCTTGAGCTCATTTAGTTACAAGGAAAATAATTAGAACAAAAATAGAAGATAATTTGCTTTGGAAACTTGATTAATCATCTTATATCTCTGTTTTTTTTGCTGTTAATTAAAACATCTAATATTTGGATCATTAATTAACTCCATAGGATTGGCATTATTGCAGTGCACAATGATTTATTAAGTGGTTCTGCTGTTAAAACACAAATCCAGAGGGTTTTGTTTTGTTTTTTTATGGTTTGATTTAAGATACTGATGTTAGTAGTCCCAGGCTCTACCACAGAAATTTCCGCTTCCTTCTTCCCCTTCTTTTTCAGGTCTATTCTTTACACGTACTTTTAGGTGTTGTCACCGACAGTGCCATCACTATTCAGCCATTAGTCTCTGTGATCGCTTAACTTGCACAGGGGACGGTCCCCGCAGTCTGAGGGGGCGGCGGGGGGGATTTCTTGCGGGCTGAGGTTGACTATCGGCCGGCGCAGGGACGAAGCTGCGGCCGGCTGATGTGAGTTTGTGTAGCCAGCCTCCGCGGCGAGGTAGCTGAGCCAGTCAGTGGCATTTCCGAGCGAACCGGTGAAAAGCCCCGCAGGCAGTCAGACAGGCAGCAGATAGATAAAACAGAAAGAGAGAGAGAGAGAGAGAGAGAGAGAGAGAGAGAGAGAGAGAGAGAGGGGACTCTCACATCAGATGAGTAATAGAGCAGAATATTACTACAGCAAACTGCAAGAGATAAATCGATCCTCCTCCTTTCTCCCGCTTATATCTGCGGCTGTCTTTGCTTCTGCTTTCTTTTTGTTCAGCCCTCGGTGATCTTTTGTTTCAGTCTTTGCCTTTTGTGTTTTTGTGTGTACCGGATAGATCCAGGAGCGCTGCACTCGAGGAAGGTGTCTGCAAATCGGGCTGTTTCTCTTCTGCAACTTAACTCCCAGCTGCTGTACAAGACCAGAGAATACAGGTAAACTATACAATTTAAGATGATCAATTACGATTTGCATTCTGAATTTAAGTGTTGTTATTATTATTATTCCTAAAAACAAAGCACGAATTATGATGAGTAAACTGTTCATGCACGAGCTTTTGTTATCTTCGAATAATTACGAGCTTCTACGAATTTCGTTTAACTTTATTATTATTATTATTATTATTATTATTATTATTATTATTATTATTATGTATAAGCTCTGTAAGCGTTGGCATTGTTTGTGTGGTCCTGCTGCAATGTGGTGAGACGTTGAACATGGCATTGCAACAGTGTGTGGTCTTCTCTCGCTCATACAAGACTATTGTGCACTATTAACGTGCGTGTGCGTGAGAAGGGGGGTGGGGGGTATGTGAGTTGGGCTGAAGGAAATTCTTGTGTTTTGGAATGCGTTTACCCCGGGGGAGACCCCGTGACTTCGGGACAAGGGGAGCAGAGAGAGAAAGAGAGACATTGAGACATACATAACGAGAGAGCGAGTAGAGAGAGTGACTGACCTACTGATTACATTGGCTTTCTAAGAAATAATGGAATGATGTAGTGCTCTTTAATGCAAGTATCATACTAACTGCAAATTTATTTTACAGTGACAATATCAGTGACAAAAACCTTTTTCTTGTTTGATTTTTCCATTATTATTTTTCTCTCAGAGGACTGTAATTAAAACCATGCACCAGTTATAGAGACAGTGTTAGTGTATCCAACAGGGGGCACTTGTGACACACAAGTGGTTATTAATGTGCCACTAATGTCAGTTCCCAATTTTACATATTTCTAACAAATGAACATTGTTTTAATTTGATTGATTTAAAACAAAAACTTGGTATTCATCATGTTCAAAAGTACATGAAAGCATAAGTTGGATTTATTTCCCCCTGTAGAGTTGACAGAATTGTAAATTTATTTGGCTTTTTGGCTTTGAGTATTGCTTTTAAACAGTCACACTGCAAAAATAGTTTTCATCACTGTCCTTTGAAAAACATCTCAAAATCATCATATTTAGAGAGACATACTTTTCATTGGATGTAAACCTTGTATTAAGTTTGTTTTGCTGTGAGTCCAATACTTTGCAGCAGGGACTCACATTCATGGTGCTCCCTCCACTTGATGTGTTGTCAGATCAGAAAGCATAGAGTAGTTCAGTGCAGACATCACTCAATATGTTTGTGCTGTTAAAATGAAGCGAATTTCTTCCAGTATGATCAATAACATGATCTGATTCATGGTGAGAAATATAGTAGCAGACTGAGCACTTTAGGTTAGGTTTTGGTACAGTGGATGTGTATATTAAAAAGTCGTATGCCCTGAACTGTGCTTGAAACAGAAGTTAGTGCTTGGATTTACTTTTTTAGCGGACAGACTGGGGTTAGCATCCCGGTTGGTATTGGACAGAGAACAGTGTTTCTGGAACAGCGCTGGGGACTTGAGGGAGAAGGACTGCTAAAAGCTCGCCCACACACAAATGTGAGATATTCTAATGAGCAATCTGGCCCTTCTGAATATGATTCCTCTTCGCAGTACAGGCATCCTACAATGTGTGACTTTGTGCAAGTCCACCAATTTCTTGTAAAAAAAAAAAATTGTTTTCTAGATTTCACTTCGATACAGGTGTCAGTATGATGTGAGTGACGTGCTCCTTTCCCACCTGTTTTTCACAGTCTGAACTCTTCATGATGCACATCACTGAAAAAGCGGCAAAGACTGGCAATCGAGAGCTCCCATCCTGCTGGTAAGAATCACCATTAACTATGATTTTATCTGATGCAGAAATAGTGTGAACTCAGTTTATCAAATGGAGAAGATAACCCTGGCAGCAGATACCAGACTCGTATTGTCAAATCGAGGTTTTTGTAAATTTGAGATATTGAGCTATTTGTTAATGCACTTTTGCACTAGGAGACATGAGTTTTAGATCAAGATTGTACCAGGGTCTCGTCTCTTAAAATACTACACTTCCCCAGTGCATCTACTACATCTAGAAACCATTCATCCTACTCATCTGTGTCCTTTCATTAGATCAAAATCCTCCCCTGTATCTGTGATTTTAAAATAACCGCAACCTACAGTGGTCAGCCGTTTTAGAAGCTCTTTACTTACAGTAGCCAACAGGACATGTGTATATAAAACATTTTAGTGTACTTAATGTACACCAAAAAAAAAAAATCTGGCAGCATGATTCACACACAAAAGCACACATACAGCATGTACAGCCCACACACTCCCACGTGTTTCTCCTGCCTCTGCTCCCGTCAGATGTACGGCACATGACATCATTAAAGAGGTGGTCTAAAAATCAGTGTGGGTACCGCATGTGGGTAGGCAGTGTGTGTGTTTGTGTGTGTGTGTGTGTTTTTGTTTCTGTGTGGGTGAGGGGAATGAAAGCCAAAGCTCCAGAGCCGTGGGCCCAAGCTGGCTGCGTGTGTGTGCCCAGCCGGAGGCTCTGGTCCTGGGCTGCGCTGCCTCCCACGCTGGGGTACGGCTGGGGCTGAGTGGGAGGGAGGAGTGGGAGGGAAAAGTGGGCTGGGGCTGTGAGTCAGCCCGCTGCGGAGCCCCCAGACAAGAGACCGCTAAGGGAAGCAACTCACTGCTAGAGTTCTCTCCCTGCCAGCAATCGAAGAAACATTAAAATTTATTATGAGGAGTGTACTAGCGCTGGTGAAGCAGTGACAGAAGAAGAAGCAACTGCTGATATTGCAGATAGGAGAGACAGTGATGGAAACAGTCTCAGAAAGTGTCAAGATTCTGGAGAAAAACACACTTGCAGAAAAGCTGATGGGTTCTGAGATTTCAGCTCCTTGGTTATGACGTAGGCCTACAGTAGATGGCAGAGATGGCAGGATGTGCATCTTTGTTTTGTATTTTAGCAAATGCAAGTTTCTAATTATTTAAACGTCAATGTTGTTAGTATAAGACTCGCTGTAGGCAGCTCTGCCACTTCCCAGATCTTTCCTGTATATTTTAGGCTTAAATCTTTGTCATGTAACTACAGCAAGACTCTGCATAGCACAGTCCCTGCCCGATGTCTCATTTTCTGGCACTTCTGAGACAGATGGCAGTTTCAGACCCAGCCCCATCTGCTAGAACCGCTTGCTCGTTCTCACTCTGTCTGCTTCTCTGAAAGAAGAAGCTGAGAAAACAGAACCCCCATACTGCACGTCCATTTAATCTTCCGTAAATGACATGCTCACATTCCACACTTGTGCATGCACATACATATGCATAGTCCATTAGTCATAAGTGATAGGGAGCATTCGTCATTGGTGAATTAGCCGGGTTAGTAAACATGTTTCTGGCCTTGAGCTTACACAATAGTGGCTTTCATCAAAGTGTAGGTGAATTTAATACTTAATTAAATGACTCAAATAGCTGCAAAATAATAATCTCTATTTCTCTGTTAAGCGAGCTCACTATGAGGTGTGACCTGACCTGGACACGCTCTGCAGAAGGACACAGTCACAACACGTGACTATTACAGTGTGCAGTGGTGTGCAGAGACTTTGTGAGCTTTTGTAAGCTGGAATCAGTATCGACTGAAGCTCCTGACAGCTAATATTTGGTGCAGATCTCTTCTGTATTGTATTGTAATGTGGCCATTTTCATGCATAACAGTCCTTTAAGATTATAATGTTTGAAGACCCTGGAAACAGCATTTATACAAGGGATACAACTAACCATTATTTTCATTATCGATTAATCTGATTGATCATAAAGTCTATAAAATGAAACAAATCCCTAGAGTCCAAGGTGACACCTTCAATTTATTTAGTCTAAATAACAGTCCAAACCCCCAACTATTCAGTCTATTAACAAATAAAAGAAAAACAGCAAATCCTCACAATTAAGATGCTGAAACAGGTTGTTCTTGAATATTGACTTAAATGGTTTATCATTTATCTTCTTATCATAATCGATAATCTAAAAATATTAGCTCCAGTTTAGACCACAGTGGGACGACACAAGTGTTATTTAAAACACATCTTAAGAAAAAAAATAGCTGGGTTTAAAGCCACTTAAGATAGGTTAAAGTAGGTGTTATCGCTGGCTTTAGATTCTGCCTCCTTCAGAATTATCATCATGTTTCCAGAAGCTTTTATTTATGTTGCCGTCAGCCTTGTTTTGAACACAAATCTACTTTTTCTTTCCTTACACCTGTTTTTTCATGAAACACCTTAAGAGCTACAGAACAGCTGTTCATAAATGCCTTTTTAATACACTTCCTTAGAGTCAGTTACAAGCATCTATATATTTAAGTAGGCTTTAGCTTGAGACCCCTAATCAATACACAGGCCTATAGTCATTTCAGTTACATTTCAGCAGATTTCCATCCTCAGAGTTGGAGGTCAGGCCCAGGCCCACAATGGCCCAATGAGCTCAGCAGCAGCACTATTACTGGGCTGGGCCGGTCGCTCTGATAATGGAAGGTGGTTCTCCAGGAAACCCAGAGGGAGTCCACCAGTCTGGGGCGTGGGGGCTGGAGCCAGGGGACCGGCCCAGGGGTGTGGAGCAGCAGTAGATGGGGTGGTGGGAAACGCTGGAGGATAACATTGGCATGTGGAGGCGAGGCAGAGGTGGGACAGGTCGAAAAGGATGACAGGCGAGGAGTGGGAGGCAAGGACAGGGAAGTGAGAACAGGAAACACTGGTCAGAGTGGTGGGGGAGAGTGGAATGTTTCACAAGAAGTCTTCTCCACCCTGTAGCATCACGATGAGGGCGTCTGCTTGTTGATGTTGCTGCTCGGACAGCCACCAGCCAGCGGAGGAACTGTCACAGTTGTGACCCCTCACCGCCTTGGCAGGGCTCACAGCTCTTATATCCTGTGAGTGGGCCTGCCAGCAGCAGAGTCACTGCCTTCACATAAGCCCATGTTGTGTGGTTGTGGAAGAGAGAGAGAGAGAGAGAGAGAGAGAGAGTCTCATACTGTAGCTGTTTTTCCTCTGACACCTCTGAAGGGAAGAGGAAGAGGAAAGAGGGAGAGGGACTCGCAGGGCAGGGATGACGGGGTGGAGTGCGACACCGGTGGGTTCCTTTAAAGGAGTCACAATGCTGTCGTGCAAAAACAGAATACACACACCCACACATTGGTAATGCATCTTTACATTAACAGCATTATACATTGCTCTCATGAAGTATTGTGTTTTTAGAGCAATACAGTACATACAGTTGTATACAGTAAAATGCATGCAAAATTTGTCATCTGCATTTAACCCATCCTAATTAGGAGCAGTGCCCTGACATTGCGCAGCACCCGAGGAGCAGTTTACTAAACTTACTAAAATTAAGGGATAATTCTGATTTGTGGTGGAAATAAACTAAGAACATTTACCTAAACACTGTTTAGTTTTAAGGTACTTACACTGTATTTAAGAGGAAAATATTGTACGTTTTACTCCAGTACACTTTTGCGTGGTTTCTAGTTACATCCAAAACATATGATAAGCTTATAAAATACGCTGAATTGGTATAAATTAAACTATCCAACAACAAACAAAGGACTGACAATTACAACATTAACAGAAAGTCTATAACATTTTATTATGATGATTTAAAAAAAACAGCCATTTAAGTTAAGGTTTGGAAAAAACACCAGTTGATTATTAAAGTTTAATACTCAAAAAAGCACAACTAATCTACTTCATCAGGACTGTGTGGGTGAGGGGAGGATCAGATGTGATTGACAGTGGCACTTCCGCCTCTGAAAAAATGCAAATGACCCTTTTAACTGTCATCACATTTTGATTCTGCTGAATCCTGATTGGTGCTTGTACATAAGTAACATGACCGAAAATACACAGATATGTCTCAATTTAAATAATCAAAATTATGCAAATGTATTAACTTTTTTTTAATGTTACATAATGGAGGACACTCTCACTTACAGTAAAAGAAATTTGTTTTCGAGGCCTTTAACTTGTTAGATTAAGTTAAATTAAATATAATTCACCTTGATGAACGGGACCAATCTGCTACATGTGTTCTTTTTGTTATGCAAAGTACATTTTGGATGTAAATACTTCTTCCACCACTTAGTTAATGTTAATGTAATGTTAAGATTGTACTCATCGCGCTGATTGAATCCACCAAAAGGACAAGAAACACAAGTGATAGGTTGCAAACAAACTTTGGTGAACCCAATGTTATCACAACTGATAGAAATGATGATGTTCTGAAAATAAAACCTGAGGTTTTTTTAACAGGAATTATCCTTTAATACTTCCGCTGTTCCTAATACTACAGTTATTACTTTATATAGCCTAACCTAATACTTAACCATTGCATCACAATAGAAGTATTCGTGTGTGATGTAATTAGAGACACTTTCACAAGTAATGGAAAACTCAAGCACCACCGTAATGCATCACACCTCAAGCTGCTCTGGATGTTTCTGCAGGCTTGGAGGTGCTTGTCTGTCACCAGAGCGGCTGAGGTATCCCTGTGTGTGAGACTAAAAGTCCAGGGTTATCACCGGACAATAAGCACACACACGTAGAAACAGAAGGGTGCACACACGTTACCAAAGAGCAGAGGGGAGCAATGTAGAACAAGCACACAGTTGCGGGAGATAAGACGCAGAGTCATGCCTCCACAGCGTGACTATGACATCACAGTTGTATCTGTTAGCTCACTGTCTCCCCATGCTAGAAACAGACTGGCCTAATATAGTCAGTGTCGACCATGCCACACACACTTCCGCCCAGGGCCAGGGGCACGAGAGTCTGCCTGCCATATTTCCATCTCATGTCCTTGGGTGGGTTGAAAGCACATGTTCCTTCTGAGGTGTGTGTGTGTGTGTGTGTGTGTGTGTGTGTGTGTAATTTTAGTGAATGAAATTACGTCACTGTTACGTATGTTCTTGTCTATCACTGACTGAGACTTTCGTTCTTGGCAGAGACAGGTGCATATATGACAAACTCTCCATGGGTGTGTTTTTTTAAGGACAACTTTTACCATGCATGACAGACATGAAAATATTTGGCTGACATTGAAGAACAACAGCTTGCCAAATAATTAATTCAAAAAAAATAAAATTGGGGGATTTTTCTTTGTATGTTATGTAATATATATATAACTTTCAGGAAGACAATTACTTATTCACTTCACTCAGCCGGGTGGAAAATCTGCTGTTGTTGCGTTTTACTGCACTGTGGAATTTGAAAACTTTGCTCAACAACTGCAGGGAAACATACTGTCACTACTCCTCTTTCTGTCCCAATCTTTCTCATAGTCTCTCTGGCCATATTTATAGAAAGACAATCAGCTTATTCTCATTGGGTGTTTTGCGTCCATTAGCTGAAACACATATATAACTATAATTAAATTGTTTATTATGTTTCTTTGAGGAGGATGGAACTCCATGTGTAGCTCATTCAGATTTTTCGCATTAACCCATGTCAACACATGTAACACGGCAGTTAAAAGCGGCTGTGGCGGCGGAAAACAGACTGGAAGTCGTCGCAAAGTAAATGCGGTGGCATACACAATACGAGTGTCGGCTAAGTGTTATTTGCACGGTACAAAATATTTTAATAAAAATACCAAATTAAAAACTCAAGCATTGTGTTTCTACTAAGATCCAATCAGAGAGACTCTGAGTTTTAAGACAAAAAACGGGGTCGGCAACTTCTCCGTTTTAGGTCTCCATTTTCGCCGTTTTAGTCTGGACGGGAGATGCAAAAGTAGCAAAAGGTCTCCGTTTTAAAACAAAAACGCAGTAGCGTGGATGGGGCCTGTGTCTCTGTCTCTCTGACCCCTTCTTTTTTTTTTTTCCCGTAGTTTGAATTCTTTGACTTTATCTCTCCAGCTCTTTTTTATCTCTGTGTGTGTCACTAGCAACTCTGGTCAGCCATTAAACTTACCCTCAAGCCAACTGCAGCAGAATTCCCAGGCTGCTCGGCTGCCTGAGTTCACACCTTTTTGTCCACAGGAATCTCAGGAATCCCCAGCTTCCTTTCCACTGCAATCTCCATTGTGTGTGTGTGTGTGTGTGTGTGTGTTAGTACATGAAGGAAAGGCCCCCGCCTGTGCCGTGTATGTGTGTTAAAACACATCTCCGCCCTTGTATCCACCCAGAGAAAGTAAGCAGGCGGTGCTCAGTTTGTGCCCACAATAGACTGAGTCACATTCTAAAATGGCAAACCTCTCAGTTACTGTGAAACTTTACTCTTTAAGACACACATGACATTGTTGTTTTTAAATTTAATAAACGAAATTGTCATTATTTACACATTAATTAATCACAAATCACATTAAATCATACAGAAAGATTTTTTTGTTATTGTGTTACTGATAATACATTACACATTATTGGTTATTGCATAATTTTCTAAATTCTACCCAAAACAGTTAAAAAATAGGTACACTGTCAATTTAGTTTTTCCTGTTGGGTTGAAATTGTTTTCTGGTTAAATTATTGCAGATTAAAAATTAGTTAAAATTTATACTACTGCACTATTTTCTTTTTAACATAAAAAAAATGTATTTCCCAATGACTCATTGTCCCTGGCGTGCAGAGCAGCTGAATAACAAGATCAAGAATAATCTGTCAGATTGCTGCTTTTGGCAGAGAGCAGCCAAATGAAATGGTTGTACTAAAATAGCTCCACACAAGAATATCATTTGTTTTCAGAATAATCTGAAAGACAATTAACAGAGAGAGCTTTGCTCTTGTGAGAGGCGATAGTGTTCCCAATCAGACAAGAGGACGGTGCTCTGTTATGATTCCTCTTGGTCACTCCTGCAGGTTAATGCTGCCGTTTGTCGACAGGTCTGGAGTCATTTACCTGCTCCAATCCTGAGTCATCTCCCCGCCTGCTGCCAGGGCTCAGCAGCACCCATTCAACACCACGAGAAACACACAGAAATCCATCCCTTGTCCGACACACGACAGGCTGTGATTTACCCACACCCACCCAGTCTCTATCCACACATATACAACCATACAATATAGGTTGATCTCTCTGATGTTGAAGCTGCTGCCCATGAGCTGGATGAACAATATTTCATAGTAACCTCTGACCTATTAGATTGTTCTTAGAGGCGACAATGCAGTAGGCTATATAGATCAAATATTACTTAACCCAACCCATTACATGACTCACTAAATAGTGAATGGACCCTGACAAAGGCATTTGTGTGTGTGTGTGTGTGTGTGTTTGCACACATCAACATGTGTAACAGGAGTGTAGCATGGGTGCAGCATGGGCTTTGATGAGTCACATGGCCTCCTGTGAGTAACAAACCAGCTATGCAGTCCCTGAAGTTTGAGACTCCCATTCAAAACCCCAGCCCACCCTCGCCCCAAACACCATAAGGGAGGAGGAGGGGAAGGGGCGGGGCAGGGTGGGGTAGGACGGGACTGTTAATAGGTGTGGTTGGCAGGGATGGCGTGGCAGAGAATAGACGTGGGGTAAAATAGCAGGATGTAGGTGAGAACCAGGAAGATGGGAGGCGGAGAACAGGGTGGTGAACCAAGGACAAGGGCAGTTTCAGGTCAGGCTTAGAAGTAAGGACGACCAAGTTAGGGGTCAATAGATGCTAATGACCTATCCTACATGTCACTTTCATTATGTCTCACACTATCCTCACTTCTGTCCTAAAACAGTCATCATCCGCTGTCTGGTGTTTTGTTGGTACACTCAGGTACTTTTTTTTTAGTAGCTGTGGTCACCAGGGGGTTACTCACTTGTTTATTGGCTTGTCCATTCTTGTAAACACTGGTACTTTCTCTTTGTGGTCACAATCAGCAGCCTATCTGTCTGTCTCATCACAAAACACCACCAGAAAATTTTTGTCACACATGTACATGTGCATTATTTAAATTCATTTCTTAAGTGTCGCAAGAATCTGTGGAGCAGCTGAGACAAGATGCACATATAGAATTTGTTTATGTGGGTGTATGTGTGTATGGGTGGAGAGTGAGGGGCTGCCAGTGTGGCTGGAAGTCATAAAGACCCTTCTACTGTGGCCGCTGTGTGTGTGTTTTGAGTGTGTGTGTGTGTGGGGGGGGGGTCCCTGCCTCCTTTCCCTTATTTAGAGGGTCCTTTTCTACAGACGCCCAAACTCTCTGGCAGGGGAGTTTCCTGCTTTTGAAGACCGGGTGCACACGCACACTTAACACACACATACAGAGAGAGAGAGAGAGAGAGACAGAGAGTGAGAGCGATGGAGAGGCTGCCCTTACTTTTTTCCTCCTCCCTCTCCCCCTCCTTCTTCCCCTCCTCTCTTTTTTCTGAATGGATGTCCTCTCTCTAACCTCAATTGAGAGCTGTGTAACAGGACACTGCCCTCTGCTGCAATAGGCTCAGCCCCCTCTTTAACAGCCACACTATAAGAGAGTGCAGCGTAGGTCCTGAGTGTGGGTGAGAGAGTATGTCCGACAGTGTCAGTCAGGGGCTGGGGGAAAGAAGGGAGGGTGAAGGGTGAGAGAAAAAGAGAGAGAAGAGAGGGAGACTGCTGTGAAACATGTGATAGCGCAACTTTGGCAGGGCTTATAGGGAGTTTAACGGCTGTAGTGTCTCCAGAGCTCTGGGAAAGCACCTTTAGCCCAGAGGGAGCCTCACACGCTGTCTGTGTGTGTGTTGTGAGAAAGTGTGTGTGTGTGTGTGTGTATGTGGGAGAGCCGGCTATGTAGTAGTGCTGCTGTCACTTTAAGCCTGTTACTGATTACACTCAGAAGAATGCAACGGGAGGAGGAAAAAAAGACAGGGAAAGAGATGAGGAGACATGTAAGGATGAAATCTTTTAGGAGTTGAGCTCCGGCAAGTTTTGTGTGACTTGCCCTCACAACCGTGGACAGTGACGTGGGTGAGACATTGTTACCCAATAGCGTCTCTCTCTCTCTGTCTCTCTCTCTTTCACTCTCTGTTGGACCCAGCAAAGTTAAAGAGAAGGGGAACCAGGAATCCCTCTTTGAAGCAGGGGACAGAGCAAAGGGCACCCAGAAATGGAGGAAAAACTTAAAGAAAGACACCAGAGAAAAAGAATCTGAAGAGAGAGAGGGGGGGAGGTTCCCTCATTCCAAACTCAGCGCCGGGAGGAAACACTGCTCTCACCCAGACGGGTAAGTGAAAAAGGAAAGAAAAAGGAAAGACAGGGAAAATACTCCCAGAAAGTAGAGCTGCTGCTGTTGATAGATATCATATGTTACAAGTTAAGGTTGAGAAACTGCTCCCAGATCCTTAATGCGCTGAGCAGCACACAGAACTGAGAGGAAGCACAGGAGGCTTTCAGTGCCGGTCCGTAGACTCAGCAATCCCTGATAGTTGCTTAAAAAGTGTGAAAAATAGAGGAAATGCCTGAATGTGAAGTCACATGGTCAGTCTAGGTCAGCCGGTGTATAATCACGCTCAGCGTGTCAGGTCAGAGTTTCATTGATCATTTGTGGTGGAGAAAGCGTTACCTCACAATGCGATCACATTACAGACAAGCTGATTCATTGTTACATATAGTCAAACTTGTCGGGCTCACACTCTGCTGCGAGGCTTACTTACTGTGACCAGGCTTAGATGGGAAGTACAATGGATGGTATGTACTGTTGTCAGTGCTTTAATAATATAACTGACATGGTCTCATCTGTCAGTGTCTTAATGCTGACGTGAGGTGCAGCCATGTGATAAAAAAAGGCAATTTTTTTTTCTGCACAGCGGCGCGACTTCCTCTCTCTGCTTCAGTCACGTTGTGTTTCTACCCCCTTCCTTTGACATAGATAGCACAGTCCACTCCTTCTGCTCAGCAGCAGAGGGTATGAATGAACTCAGCATATGGGGGAGGGTGGGGTTGGGGGGTGGGGAGTGAGGGGTTGATACAATATCATACAGCATGGACAGCGCAGTGTGGCTTCTTTATGAATGGACATGGCAGCGTCCTGATGTGATTGGCTGTGGGGAGAATGACGACAGATGACTGCAGACTTAATGTTTAGAGTCTACCCTTCACCGTAGCCGCTGTCTCTCCTGGTTACCACCTCTTAAAGCACTGCTGCATATGTGTGCATGTATTTGAGTGTGTGTTGTGTGGAAATGAGTGTGAGACAAAGAGAGAGAGAGTGTTTGAGACGTTGCGTGAATCAGTGCTAGTGGTTCTGGGTTACATGTGTTTGTCTAAAAGGGGCTTAGTCACAAACTGAACAGTGGGGTGTGTGTGTCTTAAAGCTGTGGACTTTTAAATGTCGTGGCTTTCTGCCCAGCTGTTGTTCTTCAAATGATCTCCCACTCTCTCTGACTAAGACGATGCTCTCTCCAACTATCATTACTCTTACTCACTTGTCATATAATCAGAGGGCAGGTGTCCAACATTAATACGTAATGATGCTCCTTGTTGAATCACCCAGATAAACTTGAGAAAGAAATTTCTCCTGCGTGCCACGTGTTTAGGTTTTTGTAAAACAAAAGGGAGCAATTTAAGGAACTGTTTGGATCTCATCAAGATGTTGAGGTATTGTGGCAGCTCCCTTTTAAGAAACAAACAGGAAAAGTGGCAGCAAATTATAATAATAAATTACTTCTGAGGGCTACCTCTCACAGACATGCATGTGTGCATGCGTGTGGTCACCACCATCATGTCAGCACCTGCCAGCAGCCCAGCCTAAAGCCACACATGCATGTACACCCTGCTCTGTCTCTCTGTTTTACTGCAACACAGTGACAAAGTTTACTGCAGTTCCTTTGCTCCCTCAGAGCACTGTCTGGCCCGGTGTTACTCTGTAGTTTATGGCACCAGGAGTTGTGTGTGTGGGAGAGAGAGAGAGATAAAGTTAGAGAGTATGAGGAGTGGTGATAAGGAGGCAGCCGTAAACTGTCAGGTTGGAGCGCAAGGATCTATCTGCGCTTATCAAGGCAGCATTTCCGGCATGAGTGTGTGATAGCAGGGAGATTGGCGGTGAGATGCATCGCAGGTATCTTGATGAGGGAGATTAAATTCCCTGGTGGAGATTAGCATGGAATCTGCCCTCTGCCTTATCACTGTGCCGACAGAGTGAACCCTGCCCTGTCCTACTTGGCAGGAAGTTGGTGAGCACACCAACCACACTTGTTCATTTGTAAAAAGTTACAATTGTTTTTTTCCATCTTGGATTATTATGTAATTATTATTTAAAAAATGCTTACCAAGGGGACCAAAGTTCAAATGCATGAATCAAGAATTTGGATCGTGTTTTAGCAGCAAATTTATAAAGGTTACAGATGAAACAATTCTATAACACAGAGACAAGGTCAAACTGAATCTGTTGATTTATATACAGATATGTCAGACTTGCGATAAGACTGCAGACCTTTCAAGGGTGTACCCCGCCTCTAGTCCACCGTGAGGCTCCAGCCCCCTGCAGACTGAAGGGATAGGTGGGTACAGATAATAGATGGATGGATGGCAGTTTCGAATAAAGGTTATCAAAAGCATTTCAACTATATTATCTTTCTTTTAATTAGGTATTTTCCTGCTGAAAGTTTAGAAAAAGGACAGGATAAGGACAGACTGTACAAGAAAGTTCATTAAAGCTGCATGATTAAACAGTTACTGTTGCATTTATAAAGTATTGGTATGTGGTGAAAAGGTCCCTCAGTCATACCAATAGATATACTAATTATTTAAGGATATATGATAATACTGATATATGGATTAAAAACAGTTTAGTTAGAGTTGTGTGATTTTGCTGTCAGTTGAAAATACTGCAAGAGTGACCGGAGTTGGCGGTATGGAGGACAGGAGGCAGTCTGTGTTAAATGACCAGCTTGTTAGCGTCAAATGTCCAGGCTACCAATCATGTCTTATTGAGTCATCGTATGGAGGTCTACATAATGAAAGGTGGCAGATGCAGATGATTCAGTGAGGTGGGAAAGGCTGAAGGGACCTATAAGTCACCAGAGGCAGGGTTTAGTCTGAACCACAGTCTCTGCAGTAATTGAAACACACACACACACACACAGGCTGTTATCAGGAGGTAAGACGTTGTGACATCGACAGAGTTATGTCACTAAAACTGGGTTAAGCAGCACAAGAACAATCTTAACAATCACTTGACTCATTCCGTTTCTTTCCTCTCCTTTTCCTTTTCGCATGACTCGTCTCTGTTTATACAGCAACAAGTCACTCTCACAACTCTGTCATTCGCAGGCAGATTGTACAGTTAAGAGCTTAGCGGTATAACTTAGACGTCACAGGGCTAAATGCAGTTTGGTTTAGGTGTGCACGTCTGTGTGAGTGCATGGGTCTTCTGTATGTGCGTTTTTTGTGTACTCAAGAACGCTCGTTCCAATGGTGTACTAACCACACACACCTGGCCTGTTTCCTCCTTTGCTCATATATGGGCAAAGCTTCCCCTACCTGGGCCCCACTCTGAATTCCAATAAGTAGCAGTGTGTGTGTGTGTGTGTGTGTGTGTGTGTGTGTGTGTGCGCGCGCGAGTGTGTGTTGCAAGGAAGAGGCTGCAGAGACGGATGCACGTCATGGAAAACCAGGATCAATGGGCAAGGCCCGCAGAGCCGCGTTTTTAAGGTGTTCCTTTTGTTTTCCAAAGGTAATCAGTTAACACAGTGACTCAGCCTAGCTGATTATTCAAAGTGGCTGCAGTAGGACGTCAGTAAGGAACTGTGGACATGTAGGTATTATACAAGCTGAATGCAACATTGGAGCAACTCAAACTAAATCCCTCTAACTCCTGTGGGATCAGTAGCATTAGTAAATCAAGACTGAAGCTCTTGATTAAAAGAGGACAGAAAGGATTGATAGTTTAAACAGCAACAATATTTAGCCATCTGGTATATTACAGTAAATCCTCGTACATCCCCGTCACTGAGTTATCTTTCTTCAGTCTCTCTGGGCTATTTATCAATGAGCGTGTTAATATTGAGGCAGTTCAGGTATCAGCAGCCAGGTTGTGGCGCTCTCAAACAGAACTTACATTATAACATTATACCTTGTGTTGGGACTAATGAAGCAGCTTTATGGCTGTGTTTGCCAGGGTGCAGTGCTAGTCGTGCTTAAACCCTGTGACCCCAAAAAGGCCATGAGGGGACGAGGACACAGGAATGCCCTTACGCTGACTTTGGAGGATAGGACACCATTCAATCTCAATCCGTCCTCCTAGTGTATACTTCTATGTTTCCCTCTTCTGCCACCTCCTTTCTTTGCTCTCTGCACATTTGCCAGGCCTTCATAGAGCAGCTTGAGGAGGGAGTTAGCTTTCCTTGTTCATTTTGCCAGCTCTTTCCCATCAGTCCAGCCCCCTGGAAGAGCCCACAGACACCCCTCTCTATAGTCCTGGGGCTGAGCCTGGGACTGGGGTACGGGCCGTGTGTTCGAGGCTCGGACTCCTTCTGGAGAAGCTCCTTGGCGCTCTGGACTATAGGCCTGGATTCAGTCTTCACCTGACCTGACAGCCACCTAGCAGCACCCAAAGAAACCATTTGGGATCACTTTACACATAAAGTCTGTTTCATCTCCTCAGTTTGTAAGAAGGATAAAAAGTTAGAGGGGGAGAAAGCGAGAAGGACCAAGAGGAGGGGGTAGAAAGTGACTTCAGCGGCCTGTCTGGCAGTGATCATCGGTTGGATAGCAGGAGAATATTCTGGGACAGGGAATGACTTTGGATAGCGAACAGAGGTGGCAAGGAAGTCTAAGCTTCCATAACCTCTGTCTCCACCAAATCAAAGCTATTGGCTTTCTCTCTTTGGTTGGATGCTTTCACTCACCCATCACAACCAATCAGACTCTCAGGCTGGGGTCTAATGGGACCCGGGGAGCTGAGATCTGATATCTGATTGGCTGCTGGCCTCATGGAACGACTGCTTAATTGGTGGCAAGCTGTTGGTGAGCGCTATATTGTGAGCTTGTCTCATTTTGCACACTAGGCATCTCTTTCAGTCAGTGAAACCATACTGATTGGTGCAACGTCTTGATCGTTCATTTTCAGTTCATGAACCCAACAGAAATAATAGACTGTGTGAAAATAAGCCCAAATATTCATACTTACCATCATTACCATTGAGTAAGAACACGATACAGATTTTACAACAAAAAAAATTTAAACGAGGGGAACGATTTAAACGGATTTTCACACAGACTTTATGTCCACACTTGTTTGGATGTCCACACTTTGGACATAAAGTTCTCCACGTTGATTCCTGCTGCAAAAGGAAATTGACCTCCATTGTTGACAGTAACAATTTCAAGCACAGCAAAGCGATGCTCACAGCTGAGTTTCTTTCAGTAAAAAAAGGTAAAAAATTAAATGTGTTTGCCTGGTGAATAGTATTTCTAAAATCCAATCTTCCCAGTGATTGACTTTTGTGTCCAATTTTTGGTATTCAAAATGAACATTTCCAGATTCTTTTTGGAAGAATAACTGTAGATAATAAGCCTCATGCGCTGGAACAGTAGCTGATCTGGGACTGTAAAGATGGAGTGAGGCACATACTGTACACACACATACACACTCATAGACATAGAGAGAGAGAGAGAGAGAGGGAATGCATCCACACCCAGCTCACACATCCTACACACCCACCCACACACACGCCCACACATACTTGAGCAACAAACAGCACAAGCACACAACCAATGTTGCTTACTGCAGAAGTGCAACTTGTCTTTGCACAAATACACACACACACATACTTGTACAGTGGTCACCCCCTACTTTGAGGCTAAAGCAGGGTAATGATTCAGTTCCTCTTTGCTTCCCTCAGAATGTGTGTGTGTGTGTGTGTGTGTGTGTGTGTGTCTGTACATGTCAGCGTATATTTGCTGTACATGTGTGTACAGTTGTCACTTTGTGAATGTGTTTTGAGTGTGTGTGTGTGTGTGTGTGTGTGTGTGTGTGTGTGTGTGTGTGAATGTGGATGTGGTCAGGCACAGTCATCTTCCAGGCAGCTAAGAGGAAACCCACATCAACTGCCATATACCACACTCTAGGAATAGACTTACCCAGTGCAGGCAGGAATGGAATGGCACGCCTGGCCTCACCCCTCCTCAAGCGTCCTAGTGCCCCCTCCTAGATCCACCTTCCTCAACCTCTTATCTACTGCAACCTTCACTTAAACCCCAAAGATTCATTCTTTTTGGTGTTATTTCCCTAATTTTAAATGTCCAATTCCCTATACACTGCTCTTCGTCACTGCTAACTCTACTGTTGGCCTGGCGAGGGCTACAGACAGGCATGTCTGCAGTAACTCTGTGGTACCTTTGATGAGCTGTACTGGGAGGTTGTAACATGCAAGGTGTTCATACGATCTCTCCTTTAAAGGAGACCTATTATAGTGCATTTCCAGTCCTATAATGTAGTTCTGTCTCTCCTCTCAGCTTTGCATGATTCAAAGTTCAAAAAAATTATTTTCTATTTTATACTGGCTCTTCATGCAGGCCCTCATTTCAGCCTCTGTCTGAAACAAGCTGTAGATGCTCCTGTCTCTTTAAACCCCCTGCTCCAAAGCTCCAAATGTCTTCTGATTGGCTATTCTCTAAAGTCTTTATCAGATTGCCACAGGGATAGGGCTGCATGTTCCTTTGTGGACGTGGCCAGCATTCTCTGCCTGGACCAAATTACCATATATGGAAATCCAGCTTGGAATGACATCATACCGAGCCGTTAGTAGTTAACCGTTAGTAAAAAACTGTGAAAACAGGGCGTTCAGAACAGGGGGATATCTGAGGATTTGGCTCACAGGGATTTCTATTAAATACTTTGACCTCATTATTTGAAGCTTTGAACATCTCACATTGTAACATTATAGAAATGCCAGAAAATATGAAAAAGCATAATAGGTCCCCTTTAAAGTTCCCTTCCAACCAGTATAGTCACTAGTGAAGCAACAATCACGCGTTCCCTCACCGGCTTCCCACTGGTGAACATGGCTTGGTACCACTATCTGTAATTGAACCTCAAGTCAAATCAGTCTGCTATGAGATGCGTATCTAAAAATATGTGAGCTGGTATCACTTCATTGAAAATTCTGGTTATGGTTAAGTTGTGAGAGAGTTTCAGTTCCTCTGTTGTCTCTGTCTGCCTCGGCATCTGAGTTTGTCCTGCTAGCATGCCCTGTCTGACGAACCAAAGACTTCAGTGGAAAAAACAAAACTGCTTTACGTACATTTGACCTCTCTGCCCACCGGCGGTGGCAGCATCACTAAAGCATGGAAAAAAGAGAGAAAACAGAGATTAGACATATAAGACCTTATCTACCTTATCTCTAGCCCTGTGAGCTTACTCAGGCTCACCAGTCTGGACATGTTAATGTCACACTTGTACTTAAAGTGCTGGTGACAGCTTTAACATACAGCTTATTTTTTTGCAAAGCGACATCCTGTATCATTTCATTAATCTGTGTTACATTATTCCTGTATAGCTGTTGAACTTAGTGACCGGAGTCTCTGACCTCAAGTATTTCTTTTATACATGTTTCAGGTTTGCCGATTCTGGACAGATTTTTTTATACCAGAAACACCACTGAACAACCATGTGTTCCTGAAGCCCTTCCAATCAGAGGTAAGAAAGCCATTCATAGATTTTTGCAGCAACAAAATCACCTCTTTCCCATCTCACCCAGCTCACTGCTGCTTCTAGAAACTGTGTTCCCTCCAGCAAAGAACAGAGCCTTGGGGCCACATCCCTTTGCACCTCTTCAGATTCTACACTATAAAGCTTCAGCAGAGAGAGCAGTACATCTTTTAGTCTTAAGTTCACCGGTAGCGTCAGTCATTGAGCTGTCATAGAGAGTGCAGCTGTGAGAAAAAAGAGACAAATGACGCAAATCAAAGTTGTGTGGGATAAATGAAACTACTCCCAACCTTTGTCATCAACGTCATGCAAGTGTGCAGAGTAGAAACAAAGACTAAGACAGAAGAAGCAGAAAGAGCAGCAATGGTGACAGGGAGCTGGAATGCGAGGAGGGAGGAGTGAGAGGGGGTTAAGGGAGGAGAGAGAGTAGCAAGCACACTTCCCTTAATAAAAAGAAATTGGAGTCAAGTGATTATCAGCTGGTCAAAGTATGTTTGATCAATATGGTCATGAGGCTTCAGGTATGCAGGGCTGGATTTGCGACCACAGAGAAAGGACCCAACCCTCCCCCCTCCTCTCCCGCAGTCACCTGTGTCTAGGTCGTAATTTATTAAGATTGGGTCAGTGCTCCCATTTTGCTGGACCCAGCATGGCGGTTGCTGCGCCTAGGGCCTAATGGGAAGGAATGACAGGAATCTGCAACTGATAATGCCATGCTTGGAGATGTTTGTCAGCAGATAATCTCCCATATCCTTCCCCTCCCTCAGGCTCCTCTTCTTCTGCTTGATCTCCTCCATTCGGTTTGCTATACCACTACGCTCTCCCTTCTACTCTATTCTTGCATCATTCCACCTTCACCACTGACGCCTTCTCTTTCCTCTTTTTCATAATTGTCTTCGCCTCTCGCTGCTCAACTTGTTTCCCCCTCTCTGACCTCTGTGTGTGTTTATAATGGAGCTGTTTGTTCTTTCTCCTCACTCTTTCTTCAGATGGACTCAGCTGTGTCTGCAGAAGTGCATCGTCTTCCCGCCTAGGCACGACCAAACTGGCCAGCCTTCACGGTTCACTGCTCTGTGGCTGCTGTCAGTTGCTCAGTAGGCAGTGTAGATCCTGTGTAGCAATCAGCAGCTACATCTGGCTACTGGGTCTCTGACGGCTCTGCCTACTTCCCGGTCGAGCCCATTCCACTCCAATTGGCTGGTGACACATTCCAGTCCTCTTATTGGCTGCGATGTCAGGGGGGCTCCATCCTGTGACCCCACAGACAGGATGTTCTCTGTGTCACAACTCCACAAGGGGCCCTTGTCAAGGCTTTTTGTGTGTTTTTTTCACTCCTTCCTCTTCCGCCATTCTTCTTTTAATTCGCCCTGTTTCTGCCTCTCTCTCTCTCTCTCTCTCTCTCTCCCTCTCTCTCTCTCTCCTTCATGCTCTGTGAGGTCCTCTTTGTTTTAAATGTCCTTGGTAAGAGCTAATAATGTTAAACTACAGATGTTCCATGACAGAAATTTCAAGAAGTGATGTTTCCGATGTGTTTCTGGATGCCTGCTTGAAAAGACTTTGAGATGAAGAGATGTACCTTTGCTTTGTCCTGAACCTGGCATACAATGTAGATTTCTGTGTGGTTCAATTCTACAGCTACATTGTCTGCTGGGTTTCTGGCTAGCAATATAAGCAGCTGTTATATAACACAAAGGGTGCTCAAAAACAGTAAGTATTCATCTATTCTGTCAATGTATCTGAAATGCCTGACCCTGAAAATTCAATAAAAAGAAAATATTTTACAGTAATACAACTGAGTGACTCCTGCTGTCGTTTGTCAGACTGAATATCACATTTGAAGGAAGATTTTTTTGCAGAATCTTGGATTTGCAAAATCTAAATTGATTCAGTGTTGCTTGTGGCATCCCAGGAGTTAACCCCGAGCAAGAGATGCCAAGAATATTTTAGTAACTCAGCACAAAGCCGGGTCGTTGTCTGTCAGGAGGTTGTCAGACTGCTGTCAGACTGGCTCCTTATTAGTGGGACAGCACTGTCTTCCCTGCAGCCAACACACACACACACACACACACACACACACACACACACACACACAGGATTATACCAAAACAAACCAACAATGTATTTAGAAGACATTCTGCATCCCTACCATTGTGTTGTAGAAAGTCACACACTTTCTGACACCTAATTGAAAGCCCATGGACCCTGAAAGCAACTTTTACATCCCAAGTCTGCTTTTTTTACTTCACTTAGCATTTGAGGAAAACTCTGAATTAGATGTTTATTCAGATACACACATTTAAACTGTAATTTAGTTATTTCTGAGGGTAGCCTCTCTCGGGGTAGTCTTCTTTACACACACAAACTGCAGGGAACATGTACATGAATAAAGTAGCTGCCATGCAGAGGCAGGTGAACTGGCTCTGTAAACTAATGGTGCTAAGCCAAAAAAAGGGACATGATTCTACACCAAAAGATGAGGAATATTACTGTGTATTTTTGAATAACTGGACCCGGACAGCACGGCTGAATCCCTGCAGCAGTACTCCGGCAATACAGGTGAAAATATAATGAGCGTCCACAGCTCAGACAAGAAAAGAAACTGAGGCAAAGCTCCCTCACAACACTAGGCTTTTTGAATGACTGGATTTTTTCCTATCATGATCAAATCAAAGACAAATATTGAGTTATTGGTCACTGCAGTAAATTACTCCACATTACTCGTTATTGAAAAAAAGTCTTCTAAAATTCAGCTGAAGTTGAATAAAGCTGAAACAATTTGTTGGTTAATAGATTAGTGTATTTGCAGAAAATGCAATAAAAGAGACAATGAAAAGAACAATTAGTCGTAGCCCTGATTCACAAAGTTGTTATCTTGTTAGTAAAAAAGTCCCTTTTTGTGTTACTGTCCCTTCTGACTGTCCAGTGGCCCCTTACACCAAATTTGGAACATGCGAGCTGTGATTTGCATTCAAGCAGTACTTGCAAATCACTTTAGTGAAATGGGCCACTGGGAAACACAAAGAGCAAATTTTTCACTAAAAGACAGGAAGATAAATTACTGCCACCGATAGCTCTTTCAATGTGCAGACAGGGACATGTGATTGTTGTATTTAGATAGACTAAACATGTAAACCAAGCCTTTAGGTAAGAGGATTTTAATGGTAAAGGCCACTGAACAATAATCCACAAGCTGCACATATGATTACATATAAAGTGGTTCTATCTCTCACATGTCAACTCAAGTAAAAAACGGTTTGCATAAAAGTTTTGCATGTAAACACAGGACTGGATGTGATTTCAGTACTGAACAAAGAACTAAGCAGTAAAATGAGATAATACAGTGTATTCCTGTGGAGACTGCACATTTCAAATACATTCTAATGCATGTTGGGAAATAAAAGCAATAAAATATTTCATATTTACTGGAACGTAATCAAAACTTTTGTTGATATATATATACAGTATATATTCCTACATAGCACCCTAGTTACAGCTGGTGTCTTTGCATGATGAAAACAAAACAACAGCTGTAGGACCTCTAATTTTGATGGATTTGCATTTATTATAAATTTGTTCTATGTCTCCCACACTGAGTCGTTGGACTCATTTTCATCATCGATACAGGTCTTGTCTACATCTCACTATTAAGCCCTCAAGTTCAGCCACATAGACCCTGTTTTTTTGACAATGTTACATGAGCTGAGCGAATCCATCAGGACCCACTATCAGAATTCCAACAATGCAAGTGGTTGCTAATGGCCCCTAATGGAAGGGGTAATGTGGGCGGTTTATTGTTGCTTTGATAAGCTGTTGATGACGTGCATGGTGCGAGGACGGCATGAAGTCAGAGTGCAAAACAACAGAATGCTGAGAAAAAAAGAGTGATGACGAGAGAAAAAAAAGAGAAAAAGAGAAAAGGAAAGAGAGATTGAGCCATCTGTCTCCTTCTATCACACATTTAAACGCTTTCAAGGAGGACAGGGTATTAGGTGAAGGTGCTGTCATTTGAAGGGGGCATCAGTGATGTCATCAGCCGCTGTCCCGACTCACACCATCGCTACAAACACATGGTCCCTGTCTGGTCTGCGTCACTGCTGTAATAAGTTATCTGAGTGTCACGCAGTGACCTCTAAAGCAGGGCTTTCCTCTCCGGCAAGCCTCCACATGTAGAAAAACCTGGCGGGGGATTTATATTCTGTTAGTCTCCGTAGTTTAACGGGGTCACAAGAAGAGAGTTAACACTATCATCGCTTGGAAGAAGATGGAAACATTTCTCTACAACCATCAGGGTTTTGACATTTTAGCATTACCAAACACTTTTCTAAACAGTCTCTGTTTTGGAGTGATGCTATTAGAGCTACAAAGTCTGCAGAGGGTTTCTTTTAACATGGCTACCTAACCTTGACTGACAACCTTAACAAAGTCCTTGTTTTAACCTTACTTTGCGTAACTCCAAACCAAATTGATATTTGGGCTTAACCTAACCAAACCTTAGCCTTTTATCTCAACTCAGCCACACCTTATTTCTCACCTTAGCCTTCTCTTACCTTCTTGTAGAAAATATATTGGTCCAATGTTTCTGTCTGTTCTCCATGTATTTTACCTAACTGTCCCTCTACGTACCAATGAGCCCTCTTCCTGTTTTATCCCATATGATCACCACTATTTTGTCAGCCTATCCTAGTTTTATCCATTTGGCCAATTTTTTATCCAATATGATTTGCTTTTATCAGTTTTTTAAGAACACTTATGGAAAATTGCGTATCGTCTGTCCATACTTGTATAGAGCCTTTCTAGTCTTCCGACTGCTCAAAGCACTGTTACACTTTGTCACATTCACACACTGATGGCAGAGGCTGAATTGTTAAGTTTCAAACATTCACACAAAAATCGGGAATAAATTTTGGGTGGAGTATCCTGCCCAAGGAATCTTCAACATGCAGACTGGGGGCCGAGGGACTGAACCATCACTCTTCTGATTAGCAGGCTACATGCGCTACCTCCTATGCCATGGTTGAGAGTTTCCTGGAAATGCCAGTGCCTTTTCACACAGTCCCCTATTACCAGAAAAATGAGCTACCATTATCAACATAATGTGAAGAAGTAGCAGTTCTGACGTCATGTTGAAGACGTCTATGTATTGTGTTGCAGAGATATCTACTAAAATTGGCATGCTAATAAGCTAGTCCCAGCCCATCCTGTCTCGTAATACCACTTTGCCCCTCGATAGTCGGATAGAAAAGCTCAGCCCTCCCTCCCTTGTAGTTTCAGCTGGGAGATGTGTGCACGTGGCAAGTTGGCTATGTTACACAAGCTCTCCTATCTTTTTTGGTCTAATTAATAAACAAAATAAACTACACGCCAACAAATAAATTTTTTTACATCTATTTCCTCATCAAACAGAAATTTCAACCTTACACCTTCAGAATTAAAGTTTCACTCTCACCTTGTTAAAGGGGACCTATTATGCTTTTTCATATTTTCTGGCATTTCTATAACGTTACAATGTCAGATGTTCATGATAAACATGGCCATTTGCTCCAGGCACGCCCACAAAGGAACATGCAGGAACCTGATAAACATATTAGAGAATGGCCAGTCAGAAGACAGTGGGCTTTGGAGCAGGGGCGTTAAAGAGACGGGGGCATCTACAGCTTGTTTCAGACAGAGGCTGAAATGAGGGCCTGCATGAAGAGCCAGTATAAGATAGAAAATTATTTTTTTGAACTTTGAATCATGCAAAGCTGCCATAGAGGAGAGACGGAACTATAATATAGGACTGGAAATGCAGTATAATAGGTCTCCTTTAAGATATCATAAAGCACATTTCATTTCACAGAAGTAAAACCACCAAAGAAATTTGCTAAGCTTGTATTTCATAATATACACTACATTCTTTTATAAATGTGCAAATGTTCACAGGAATATATTATCACATTTTACTTTTGAAATCACTGTAAGTCTTTTATTTACATGCAAAACCTTTGTGACAATCTTTTTACTTGAGCTGACATGTGAAAGACCGAACCATCACCAAAACCATCTTGGTTAATCGGTTCAATGTTTCAACAATTACCAAGTCTGGTTTGGTGGAAATCAACCCTTAATTAGAGTTAGAGTTAAATGTGAAAATATACTACCCTCAGTCACTGCCTCCCTGATGCCCAACCTCCCTCTCGCTCCTCTTCTGTCTCCGCTGAACCTGCCGTGTCTGCATCCCAGGAATCAAAGCCCTGGTCAGAGCCTGGCGCTGCCCTCTGTACCTTTTGTATGAATTCGACAGGTAGAGAGTAGTCTCAATTCTTTATAGCTGCAGTCGGCAACAATTGAACATACAATGCAAAACCTCCAGCTTCTCTTTCTGCTGCTCGTATCACTCAGCAGAGACCACGTCTAACTGAAAAGTGAGAAATGTGCAGAGGTCCAAACAGGAGCAGCTCCAGAAACATTTCTTATTGTGCACTGATATTTTAGAGGTCATTTCTCTTTAAATGTCTACTTATTCCAGCTAGGTACTTTTCAATGCAACAGAGTCTCATTCAGTATGTCTATGTTTTAGTATATATATATAGTATAGTATAGAATCAAAAGCAAGGTCAAAAAATGTAAAAGCAGTCTTGGCTGAAGTCTGGCTCCTGTTACAACCAGATCCTCTCAGTGACAGCCAGTCACTAGTATAGGTTTCCACGGTTCTGGTAGAGACTACACATATAAGGAGTTGTGATTCCAATGTGCTGTGTCAGGTCATAGACTGTAGTTTTTACCTTTCTATATAATTATTAGTATATTGAT